CACGATCGTCATTACATAGCGGTTACACATAGTCCGTCATGCACACCCGTGACGTTAAATATTGGCTAACACACCTGCCAATCCCATGAGTAACATAAAACATATTTATGTACTTTTTATGGGTATATCCGGTTTGTTAGTGTATATGCCCAAAAGCTAATCATTGGATGATTCTGTTTGGACATTGTGTAATGATATTTGTTTAATGAAAGACAATGCTAATTACTCTGTTTATGGATTATTCTGTGTTATATCTAAAAGTAATAATAACTTTAGAATAATGTATTCTAAAATGTCTCTAGTCAGGTATTAATTCGGATTTAGGTTGAACTAATATAATACGACTAGTTTATACAGGGATTCGTATGGAGATACAAAGTTTATATATAGATACAATGTTTTATCTAAAAGTGTTACAATAAGTTTATAGAATGTTTTTTTGGTGTCGAAACAAGTTTTTTAGGACTATTTTAAAATAAAGTGTTATATTAGCTATTTTATAGGACAATTTTGAGAAATGTGTTGTAAACCTCTCTTTTTATAGAACAGAGGTGTTTATAAGACATTTTTTTTTCAAATAGTCATATATAAATGTCCTAAAAGAACTTGTTACGACGTCTAAAAATGTTCAATAAACTTATTATAAAACTTTTAAATATAACACTTTATTTTCTAGTCCCATAAAACACTATTAGGATATGTAGGGATTGTTTGTTTACCTCTTAATAGTTCAATTAAGAGGCAGTCTCTAAATTTTAAAAAGGTGAATCTTGTTTGACAAAAACAAAATTGTTTCTTAACGGTTCCAAAACTCTCTTAATGATTTTGTATCTTGTGCCTCCTTCAACCATGCAGCAGTCTAATTTCATTTTGAATGATTACCAAACAATTATATTTCATTTTGCACTATATTATAAGAGTCTCTTAATCATTCTGCATCAAACCATTCAACAACTGTCATTCTTTATACATCCTATAACCTCAATCTTATTGTAGTTATATATGAATCCAAATCTTACCCATGACCCGAAAACTTATTTGTAATTATTATGGATTTTTAATTAATTATTGACAAAATTTCTTTTAAATATTATTGGAGAATCAAGAAGCATGTGATTAGATCTTGTTATGGATCCACACACCGAAGCATAGACATGTTGGTACATAGGGGTCAAGTTCCAAAGGTGATGCGGCTAAAATCTCCCTTTCCTTTTTTTAATATGTTATTAAATATCAGTATTCAGTGACAGATTCAGAAACGTCTATTATTGGGGACACATTTAAGAGTGTCAAAAAAATTCTGAAACCAAATAACTCATTTGAACCAATATGATTTCGGGTTATTTGGTTTTCGGATTAAACGATTCAGTTATCGAATAAATATAACTTATTCGGTTTGGTTTTCAATTAATTTTTGACTATTTCAGATAAACCGAGACATCATATTTTCATGTACATATTTTAATTTTCGGTATAAACCAAAGCAAATGAACACACTACACATTAATAGTTAGTAGCAAGAAATTAGAGGGCAAGAGGTCGATAACTTATATTCAGTTAAAAAGAAATAAGATAGCAAAAGGCCAAGAAATAAAAAATAAAGGACAAACTAGTAGCAAACCTTAAATCTAAATAACAAATTAAAGAATCCTAAATCAAAAAACAATTAAGAAAGAGAAAATTAATAATTAACAAATAACAATAATTATAAATATATAAAACAATAAAATGCAAAAAGAAAGTTGGAAAAAATCAAAATAGTGATTAATCAAATCATTAGTATTATAGCAAACAAGATAAGAAAAATAAAATGATTTGCAATATATTGAAACTTGGAACTTATGGTGTATTTGGTACACTGGACAGGACATAACAAAATATGACAAAATATGACAGAGATCTTTGTCTCATGTTTGGCATGACTTTTATGTGGAACAGACAGGAACAAAGTGAAACAAAGTAAAACAGATTTGTTCCACCCCTACCCCATGGAACAGGGTGGAACAAGGTGAAACAGACTTATATTTTATCAATATAACCTCAAAATAAAACTTAATTCTCTTCTAAAACATAAATGTGTATTCTTTTTACATTTTATTCATTCTTTAAATTTTATTTATTGTATTTTATGTTTCTTAAACTTTTATTTTACTCTCCTTACTATTTTTGTATGGTTTCTATATTTTTATTAACTTATGTAATTTATTATATATTAATAATAATAAAAATAATGTAGAAAAGAGGTAAAAATAAAAATTTGAAGCTACATAAACTTTTTATTTGGTGTCATTTTAATTGTTTTGACGAAAATTTCAAATGACATATTTTGTTATAAAAATTAATTATTCTATTATAATTTAATTAAATTAAATTACATAAATTAATTAAAATAAACAAGTCATCAGGGGTAAATTGGTCAATTTACTTGTTCTATTCTGTCCAGTTTTATCTTACCAAACGTTGAACAGTTGTTCTACCTATCCTGTCATGTCTTGTTCCGTCATGTATTGTCATGTCTTGTCTGGACACCAAACACATCCTTAAGGACGTTTAATTAATCCTTAAAGTAATGACTCATTGGAGTAAGAGCTATAAATGAGATGCATAAATTTAGATTTGGAGTCTTATCTTTAATTGTTGGGGGCCTATTAATAACTTTTTGTTAAATTTTTTTTTAAACCTACCACTCATGTTTTATTTGGATGTTTCTTGAGTTAGCTTGTTGGGGGCCTATGCCCCCTACCCCTTGACTATGCATCCGCCACTGTTAGTATTGATATATCGAGAAAGTATTTATACAGATAATGAATAAGAAGAGTCCTAAAAGAATTCAATCCGCGATTACGATTGCATAAAGAACAAGACGGAGAGAAAACTTCAAAAATGAATAATACGGCTATCGATACTGTTAGTGTCAAAGACACAGACGTCTGGCTCATATGATGTGATTCTGTGATGAAATTCATGGGACTTTGGTTTGACCAATTTCTTAATCAACCCATTTAGACGAATACACTGCCTTGAATTCTTGATATCTTCCAAATCTGTATAAATACAGTCTTGTATAAATAAACGCTCAAATCCATATAACTATATGTTGTTCATTTGATAGTAATTCGAACTGATAAATTAAATTCAAAATTAAAAACAGTTTAATAAATAAATAAACAATGAAAAATTGTCGTGCGTTTGTGAATTAAGAAGTTGATCATCAACTATCAAACATTTATATTTCCGTGTCAAATGAATTAGAACGATATTACTTCTATGATTGTGAGAATTTAAGTATACTATTGATAAACCTTTTTACAGTGATTAGAAGGGAACTCGCACAATGTAGCGAAATACATCTGGATTTTAATGTTTCGTTTTATTTCTTTCTTTGTCTCAGTTGATGTTATAATACGGTTTTATGTGGTTTTGAGAAAACGTTAATGTTTTTATTTTTGAATAAAATATAAATATGAAGATATCATAAAAAATTGAAAAAAAATATTGGTATTAGTATCAAACTAACTATTTAAAATTTCTTTTTTTTCATGTATTTTTTTAATTCATTTTTTTTATTTTTGGTTTAATAATATAGTTTTTTATAAAGATAATAATTAAGTATTTTGTTAGAAGTCAATGACTATCCTAATTGTATTTTAGATTTTTTATATTTAAAATGAGATGTTTATCATCTATTTGATTGTGTTTATCTACAGTTAGTTACACGAATTAAAAATGAAGCTTTAATAAGTTGTACTTACACATAATTTACTTGTAATCTTGAATTTCAAGTAATATACATTAATGAATGATACTCATGCATGAAAAATAGTTTTTAAGAGTTTTTGTCAAATGTTTTATAATATAGTATAGATATATGAATGAAAAATTCTTGTAATTTATTGATCGTATTCTCCGCTTTTACATTTTATAGGACCGAATAAGAAATAAAACATTCATTATTTTGCCTTTTTGCGGTCATCACATACCATATCATAAAGAAGAAATAAAATTTATTTTGGAACAAAATGAAGTCTACTATTTAAGGGCTGTTTATCCGACGCTTACTCGGGTAATTGAACACCAAGTTACATTACCTTACCGGATAAATATGGTAAGGACCAAAAATCTTACCCGATAAGAGCGAGACAAGAACCAAGATCTTACCCGGTAAATGAGGGGGACGACTCTTACCACGGTAAGAGCTTATTACCGGGTAAATTGTTGCATACAATACCGTTTTGGTAGACAATCTTAACCGATAAGTAAACGATACTGTTAAATTTTACCGATAAGCACTTACCGAGTAAGTGTTTGGTAGACGGCCCCTATGGTAAGATGCATTAAATGAAGATATATAGAAAATCGATGAACAATGCTATTAGTGGTAATCTCTGCCTTGTAAAATGAGGAACATATGAAGAATCACGTGAAGTTGTATTGTAAATGGTTGTACAAATGGTAGTATTTTTTTACAATTTTTGTTAAACACATTGTTTAAGCAATGAAGCTATAGAGATTCACATGTGAAGATTTATGCATATCGTCACATCCAACTGAATTTAATGTAGCATCATATATGAAAATGTATTGTATATGGTATGTACTTCATATATGAAGTTTTATTATAATGGATGCAGCTTCACATATGAAGCTTCATATGACAAACATTTGTCATGTTCAACTTCACATGTAAAGTTGTATATGGAATAAATAAGCAAATGGTAGTTTTGACAATGGTTATTACATAAATTGCTTACGTCCCCAGTTTCGCGACATTTCCTAGTACTTTGGATAATATATGTGACTCGTTTCACTGCATAAAACAGAGCCTAAAATTAGACTCTACTTTCCTTTGTTTGAAGTAGTGACTTGCAATCTTCGAGTAAGTTGAGTTCTAAGCCTAGACCTAAATACCTAATCGAACTTCATTACGAGAAACTGTAAATTGCTTATCCTCCATGTTCCATTTATGGATCTTATCTTCGTCTCTCCTTGCATCAAGTAAATGAAACCATAATAGCATCTTTAGTTTTTCCAAACCATATAAATAAAACCCACAAATACCTTAACTTTGTCGGTAGGGGTGTTCATGGGTTGGGGTTGATCGGGCTGAAGCCATTTGAACAACCCAACCCAATGTTTGCAGTTTGAAAAATCTCAAATGACCATAAAAGACCCATAACTGATGTTTTTGTGTATGAGTATCCTAGCATTCTCCACATAAAAGTTGTTTCCTAAAAACTTGTACTTCTCTATCATAACCTATGTGTGAATAATTATTGCTTTTTGTCATATACAAGATCACGGTACCTGAAGGCTGAGCTGCATCTCTGAAACCACGACTCGATTTCCAGAAATTTGCTGCCAAAGTGTTCTCCTGAGTCCTGAATCCATATCAAAAAGCTTTGATGAGTTGACTCATTCACACCTGCACGACCTCGAATATTAAAGGTTTGTTTGAGAAGAAAGCTTCCAAATTCCCGATCACAATTTCATAAAGATTGTTCATAGATTCTTCTGTCATCACTGCGTTATGAGGGGTCATAACAACATTATCTAAATGAAAAAGTTCTTCAGGGACATTGGGCTCGTTTTCAAAAACATCCAAACCAGCACCAGCAATCTCCCCTTTTAGTAAGCACTGCACCAATTCTTTCTCATTGATGATTGCTCCTCGGGCCACGTTCACAATAATTCCTTCCTTTCCTAAAGCCATCATGACATTTTTGTCAATCATGTGACGGGTTTGGTCCATTAATGCACAGCAGATGATGATGATCTCACAGTTTGCTGCGAGTTCTTGAATATTGGGATAGAATGGGAATGTAACGTGCGGTTTTTTCTTTCTGGAGTTGTATGAGATAATGCAACCAAAGGTATTAAGCTTCTTTGCAACATTAAGGCCAATGCTTCCCATTCCTACAACCCCAACTCGCTTGCCACCCAACTGAATTCATAAATACCAATAGACCACAGTTAGCAGTATATACAAAAGCTAATCTGGTTCACAGTTCCTTAACAGTTAACAGTGTGTTTGTGGTGCATTTGGTATGCAAGACAGGATGAGACATGACAAAAACTAGTTGTCCCATGTTTGGTGCAACATTAGACCGGGACAAGACAAGGATTGAGTGCAACAAAAATTAATTTTTTTGTCCTACCAAAATAGGTGGAACAAAAATCAAGGAGATGAGACAAATTGATAAATTACTAAATTACCCATGTCAAATTAAAACACTAAAACCTTGCACAATTCCTTAAACCTCCTACCTCCAGTCCTATCTCGTCTCGTTCCTTTCAGTCCTGTCCAGTCCCATCTGCATACTAAACGCACCCTAAGTATGGCTAAACACAATAGTTAGAGTTAGTCGTAAATGACCTATAAGTACCAAATGCAATAGTGACAAGTAAATCCACACGCACATGTGAATTCATCTTTAAACTCTTTGTACGATCATTCTTTCATGCAAAGCACAATTTACAGCCAACATAAGTTTCTCTCACCATCCAGTCATTCAGACAAATAAGGACAAGGTTTTTGTTTGTTAATCTGCTAATAGATCATTTGTTCATTTTGACTGCCATCATAAATTTGCCAATTTAGAGGGCTGGGAAAGATTTCCCTTCCCTCTTGATAAAATAGACACATATGAAAATGGTCGGTATGTTAAGAATAGCACACTCCCACTTCATAATTGCATGTACACTGGCAATGAAGATAATTGAAGGGGATGAGAGTTGGAAAATATATCTTTTTCCTACTAATAAATACAGACACATAAGATGCAGGATGAGTTAGAATGATCACAAAGTAGTCATAGCTAAGTTGCAAATTCACTAATGGAAAGTTTCATCTACGATGGTAAAAAAGATGTCCGTTTGGGGGGCAGGGTGGTGCGATAACTGAAAGTAGCATGCTTGACTGCAATCATGATTTGCACTAATGACAGTTACGACCATCATGAGCCGTATGCATTTTTAGAAGTGGAAAAGTTGAAATAGTATGAATTTTGGGAGAGGGTGTTCAAGTTATTTTGAAGAAGGGTGAAATCAGTTTCCATTTGTAGTTAGTGATGTTAAAAAAGCCATCAAGCATTTAGCTTGGTCGTGTTTGGCCCATACATAATCCGTGGTAATTCTTTGGTGGTCATTAATTCAATTCTCAAAATCCCCTTACCTATTCTACATAAAATTCTTACATTCAGAATAGCTAGCCCTTATAACATACACATGCATATACATTACGTAAACATACAAATCTGCCAAAAGGGGGAGAGTGAAAGAGAGAACCTTGTGGCCGAGAGGATAATCTCCTTTCTGCTGCCACAGCCCAGCCTTAACAAACCAATTAGCGGCACTAACTCTTCTTAGCACATCAATCAACAAACCCACAGCTGTATCAGCAACATCCTCCGAGAAAATTGAGCCAGCATTAGCAACTTTGATTCCACGCCGTTTGCACTCATTGAGGTCAATATGGTCGAGACCAGCACTGCTGGTCATGATAAAACGAAGCTCAGGCAGGTTCTGCAATATGTCAGTAGTAATGGGGCGTCCAGCAGAAAAGAAGGCAGCTTGTACAGAAGCTGCATGGGTAGAAAGGAATTGGTGGAGAGGAAGAGAGGATTCCCATGGTTTGAGAAAACGGAATTTCTCCGAAAATTGTCTCTCGTAGACTTTGAAAACAAAAGGCTGCCTGAGAAGCAAGACACTTGGAAGGTCATCTGCTATCTTTTCTTTTTGTGAAGGATCATGTTTTCCCATGTTTGTAGTACGTGGATCTGCGCAAGTGATTTTGAATGCAACTTGAAAGAATTAACAACAAACAGATTCCGACCTTTCTACAATCACAAATGGAAAATTTGATCATTCACATCCGGTTGAACACAAAATAGATCCATGATAATATTCTTCCACACAAAAACCTTCTGCTCCAAAAGAGAGGCTTATACATTGAAAATGGCAATTTCTATAAGTTTATTTCCCAAAATTGCATGCAAATGAAGTTGTGCAGAAAGTTTTGTAACTGGCGTTAAACTTAGGTCAACAAGATATGTATTACATATAGATTAATTTGATGACAAAATCAATTTGACCAACCAACAGAATTGAAGCCTTCTCAGGTGTATATGGCTAGTTATAGACTTGATTATTACACTCATGGTTGGTATTCATAGTTACATTATACTTCTATTGAGAAAATATTAACAAATCTGTGGAGTAAAGCGACTGGTTCATTCTATTCCCATTATCTCATACCTCCTTTCCACATCAGAATTCCAAACAATCATAAACTATCCCCACAATCAATGACTCAAAATTTTGACAACTGAGGTCTAATGACAAATTTCCAACTTCAAAATCGATTAGTAGTGTTTGAGTTTCTACTAACAGTTGGACATCTGCATTACAGCTTATAAGAAATAGTATAAAGATAAAGAACAATGTTCATTCAGAGTATGAGTATGTAACATAATTCATATAAAACTAAAAGCAATAAGTTTGACTTTTAAATGCCAAAATGTATTTATTAACTTCTGTTGTTCACATAACGAGCAGCAACCTATTGAGAGTGAATTCCGATCAAAATTGCAATCTTTAGGTGACTAAACTTACTAATAGTCTAATAGGATTCCCAATTAACTATTCAGATCATTTTTATTATCATGAAAAGTGACTTGTCAATCTCAATCCAGCTAGGTTTTAAGAACCCTATATGACAATTCTTCTGAACAACAAGGAGCGAATTGTGCTATTAGCCATCAACACTCACTAAAAAGAGATTTATATAGATAGACGATTCCAGTAACAAAAAGAGATGGATGCTTATTATTCAAATCTTAGATCCCAAACTCTAAGTGAATCAAAACTGTGAGCAATTTCTAGCTTCAAAAGTAAGCAATTTCTCGTAATCAAAATTCATCATGATAAAGAAAAAGAAGGCAGAAACAATATCAAAAATTCTGGATCAAATCTAGGGTTTCAACTTTCAAATTTTGGGATTCCATTCAACCAAAACCAGTTACGAGTAACAGTAATAGAGAATCGCCTATTACGTTCTAATCAGTTTCCGCGTTTCAACTAGAGAAGTTTCAAACAGGTAACCAAAACATCCATGAAATTTGGAGCACTAGTGAATAAGCTTCCAGAATTATTAGAAGAACGATCGTCCATGGAGAACGTACCAGCGAAAAGGACGGTTTCTTCAGGAGCCTGGAAGTACGACGGTAGCCGGTGGTTGCCGGCGGTGGAACTGTCGCGCTATATTTGGTGGATGGACGCTTTTGTACCAATTTTTTGTGTATGCAAAAGTGAATATTCATAAAATATATTATAAAATCATTCATAATAATGTTTATTACACAATAAAAAGTTATGTTTTAAAATTTTAATTTTTTATTTAATGAAAAAAGAAACCGGTAACGTCTTATCTTGATTCAGACCGATCATCCTATTGTCTGGTTAGAGATGGCCAACCATAGTCCAGGACCGCAACTGATTATGATCTGACGGTCCAAGACAGATATTGGGATTTCTGAATATTAAAGGTTCGTCCTGGTTATATATCGGGATTGATTTTTCATAATTTTGAAATATTTTATAATTTTCATGTATTATAATACAAATATTTGATCGTAATACAAAAAATATAGCATACTACAAATATATAAATATCTGATTGTCATGCAAGTTGGTTCGTCTGTATCATTATCATAATCACTTTGTTGCGGTGGTTGTTGTGGTGACGCCATAATTGCTACAATTACTCACTATGTGTGGATTGGTAAAACAACTGATAATTTGTAAAACAACTTGAAAGTTTAACTTGTTTACCTTCTTATACCATACACCAACATTAAGATGTCGACCCATGAAGATTGCGTTTGGTGTCAAGACAAGATAGGACAAAACGGTTGTTTAGCATTTAGTAAGATATAATTGGACATAACAGAACAAGTAAAATGACCAATTTACTCTTAATTGGTTGTTTATATATTTTGATTAATTTGTGTAATTTATTAAATTATAATAAAATAAGTATTTTTTATAACAAAATATATCATTCGAAAGTTTTCGTCGAAACAATTAAAATGACACCAAAATAAAAAGTTTATGTAGTTTCAGTTTTTATTATAATATATAATAAATTATAAAAATATAGAAAACGTATAAAAAATAATAATTTGAACACAGTAAAATGAAAGTTTAAAAAATATAAAATATAATAAGTAAAATTTAAATAATGAATAAAATGTAAAAAGTGACATGTTTAATGTTTAAAAGAGAATTAAGTTTTATATTAATGTTATATTGGTAAAATACAAGTCTGTTTTATCTTGTTCCATGAGACAGGGGTGGAACAAGCATGTTTCACTTTATTCTTGTGATAAGCATGGTTTATTACATTCTTAAAGTACCTATTTCTTATGTTTATTAGGTAGATTTTCATAGTTTATCCCAACCTTGAGTCATTTTTACTTCTTTATTTTCCATTTATTATGTTTGGAGCTAATTATGATGATGAATCTGTTTTTACAACAACTTGGAGTAGATAACATTTCTTTGACTCATTGCACTGCACTGTGATGCTGCAGCATTCCAACAGCATCGCCCGGCTGCACTATGGCTTTTTGGAAAAGTGCTTATTGGTTAAGCCATTATCTTGGATGGAGGTCTGAGCTGCAGAAGCCCTCGTTTTGGACCCTTAACAACTGGTGAAATGATGTGGAGAAGACTTTTTGATGACCTTTTGTGATGGAGATGAAATCTACTTTTTGTTGTCTTCTCATCTTTGTACCTTGTACTTTGTACTTCACTTTAATATTTTGTCTTTTCCTCTTGTGTTGGGTATAAAAGAAGGCCTTTGGCCTCTCTTTTCCAYACACCTCCTGGACATTTGATCTTCATCATTTGTTTCAAAACTCTCCCAAAACTCTTCCATCTTATTAGTATTATTTACAAGCTTTTAATTAATGTTATTTACATTTCGTCTTTTATTTATTTCTTTATTGTCATTTATTTTACGTCTTTACTTTCCGTCATTTACTTTCAATTATTTACATTCACGTCTTTACTTTCCGTCATTTACTTTCAGTTATTTACATTCACGTCTTTACTTTCCGTCATTTACTTTCCGTTATTTACATTCATGTATTTACTTTATGTCATTTATTTATGTCATTTACTTTCTGTAATGAGTAGCTAATTTCATTAGTTCGGGTGTAGGGTAAAGGGTGAAATGTTAAACCGAATGAAAGTGGACATTGTTTCGCAATAACAATGTTCCACTATTTCATTCAAGTTTTATAAAACCAAGCACACTTCTTGACGGGTTGATCACTTTGAAAGTGTTAAAGTGCCATGGACTTAGAGATAAGCCAT